GCAAGGAGAAACAATATAATACAGGACACACATAAGATTATTTATAATAGTCATCCAAGAATCGTATACAAAGAGTGCAGTAAATCTGTCCATACACTAAAGACCAAAGAATCTAGCTCAGGGCCTGGATCCCATGATAATGTCCTGCATGAGTTTAGCTGAAGACCTAGAGCCCATGACAATGCCTCCCATGAGTCCAACTGGAGGCCTAGAGCCTGTAACAATATCTCATGCTGGCCTGTTTCATGGATCTGCACTGGGAAGGCTGAAAGGTCAGTGGTAGAAGCTAGGAGGTCTGTGCCAGCGGGATGAAGGATCTGTGCCAGCAGCTGAGGAATCTGCACTGGAGCCAGGAAGCAATGCTCAAAGTAAGAACTAGAGCTCCCCCAAAAGGTACCACAGCCATCCTCATCAATGTGAGGTCCCAAACTTCTCTGACGATGAGGAAAGCCGAATTCCCGTCAGGAAAGCCAACTTGACAAGCTTCTCCAGGAGACTGAGCAGTGCACCATCTTTCCCTCTGGAGTCAGGAAACGATGCTTAAAGTGAGGACCAGAGCTCCCCCAATGTGAACTGAAGCCATTCTCAATGACAGTAAGGTCCTGAGCTCCTTTGACAAGGAGAACGGCCAAGTTCATCCCAAAAGCCAGCATGATAAGCTCCTCCAAAAGAGCCAACAGCTCCCTAACAACCTCTAACAGCACCCAACAGCCTCTCTTCTTCACTTCTGCCTCTTATGCTACTGGCAATGATCCTGAGGTGGGCCTCCCACATCCAGCACCACACTGGTTCAGTTCAGCTGGGTGTTAGAAGTTGACCAACAGTTGTCAGTCCACCACTGGTGGGTAGTCTGCATACAATATAAAGAAGGGAAAGCGGCTTCCTTGCTGCTACTCCTCCCTTTTTGCTCTTGCTGCTTTTGCTGTTTTCCACCGCCATGAACTGTTACCCTCTGCCATGTGCCACTCTGCCTTAGAGCCAGGTGAGTATGGACTGACTCCTCCACAAACTGTGAGCTAAATAAACCTTTCCTTCCTTAATTCTTGGCATCAGGTATTTTGTCTCAGCAATGAGAGAAAAGAAACTAAGACAGTTGGCTTTAGGATCTGTCCTGGGAATTGGTGGAGCACACTTCCAGGTGCGCCTGGGTGTGCTGTGGGAAGTGTGACCTTGGAGGTCTACATCTGGTTTCTTGCCTCTTCTGCTCTAGTCTTCTTTTCCTGTTCTGCTTGCTGGCCACCATGATGTCTCTGGTTTGTAGCCAGCAGACTAGGGACTAAAACCATGATCAAATTAAATCTTTCCTCCTTTAAACAGTGAGTTTTCCTCCTTTAAACTGTGAGTAAATTGTGTCTCAGTGATGGAAAAGCTAATTAAAACAGACAGTTTAAAATAGAAATGTTAAAAAAATGTAGTTGACATCCATTATTTATGAATACTGCATTTGCAAATTTATCCCTAAAATTTACCTGAGGCCCTCAGTCAATCTCAGACACATACAGAACAGTGCTGTTGAGTGTGCCTGTTTCTCTCTGGAGCTGAGCAGGACACACTCTTCCTTCTACTTTTGATGCAGGGTAAATAAACCTGCTAGATGTCAGATACACAGAGTTTGTGTTCCCCCATATCAAAGAATGAATACTAAGGAACAACAGAGGTTAAGAGTAGAAAACTTTGAGAGAGAGAGAGAGATAGCTCCTGAGAGACAGACAGAGACCCAAAAGTGGGTTGCCAACAAGCCCACTTCTCAAAGGAAGTTTTATAGAGCAAAACCGTGAGGGGGGTACATTGTAAGCCAAAACTATGATCAACCAATAAGATTACAAGTATAGTTGCTTAGATATTTTTTGTTTGTTTGTTTTTCTTCCGGTACCGGGAATCGAACTCACGACCTTGCGCTTGCCAGGCAGGCGCTGTGCCGCTGAGCTAAATCCCCTGCCCTTGCTTAGGTAATATTGATCCAAGAAAGAAACAGGTCATATAGCAAGTGTACATGGAAAGAACAAAGACCTTTTTAAGGAAGAGATGGATCTGAAGGTCTTGGTCGCCTACTGGGGTGACTGATGTCTAACTAGGCTTTATTGGACCAAGCGTTACCACTTATCCCTTGGGAAGGTATGTAGGACTCATCATTCCATCTTTATCTTGAGGCCTGGCCTCCAACAGATGTGCCTCTGGCCACAGTTGTAATGTGTTCTCTCATCCTCTGCACTGACTTCCCCAAGGGCCTAGCTCTGTCTGACTGCCTACAATATTTCCTGCTAACTTAGCTGCCTATAATACTTTCAGCTCTCATGCTGTAAACAACTATTCTTGTATGCCTCTTTCCCAGGTTTGTAAGGAGAGGAATACTGGGAATTGAATCCAGCCAGGGCCTTCACTCTAAGTTACATGCCAGCCCCTTTTAGTATTGAGACAGTCTTTCTAAGTCACTGAACTGCCCAGATCAGGCTCAAACTTTTGATCCCTTTGCTTGTCTCCCAGAGTGATGAGATTGTAGGTGTGTATCACAATGCCCAGCTTTTCCACATTCTTACTGATTTTTTAAAAATTGGAATGGATCTCTAGCACAGCTCTAGGAAGGGCTTGCTGCCTGATAAGAAGCATAGAAGCCAATACTGTGACACAGTCTTTGCAAAACAAAAGAGCTTTGTTGTGCAGCTGAGCCAGCAAGGAGGCCAGGAGCTAAAAATTCAAAATCTGCCTCCTCATCAGCTTGGTAGTGGAGGAATTCACAGGAAGGGAAAGGGGAGAAGCTCTCTGTAGGATGGATGATAAGATGGAGCACATGTTTATTTGGGAAGCGGTGGTTATGTTCTGCAGAAGGGACACTGCTGATCATGACGACAAGCTGGCTTTTTCCATTCAAATTCATTCTTGACAAGCCAGTTCCAAATCCTTAAAAGTGCTAGTAAAAAGCCTACGGACTTTTCCTCAGAGACAAGTGAAGGAATTTCTCTCTGGCACATGGAGGCCCCCGCTGATTCACAATGAAATGTTCCTAATTCAAAGATGTAACTTACACAGAAAAATATGTCTGCCAGATAAGCTTTGTTTAGTTACGGGTTGTAGTGCTGTTGGCCCTGGTTCAGTGTTGATGAATTAAAAATAAAATAAATCTTTAAACAGCAACACACATAAAAACAAAGTATGTATTGATTGGTTCATCACCTGATCAGAGGCCAATAGGAACCGGTTAGCCCTGTATTTCCCTTATGGTTAAGTAGTCATTAATTAAGTGTTCCCAGCAACTTTATAAAACCTAAACACTGTGCATAATGAGAACAACTACACACTGAAGGAAAAGTATTTTTCAAAATCACCACGAGGAAACTCAAAGTTTCCAAGAAACTGTTACAGTCCTCTACCACATACCCCAGTAAAGCAGTGATCCTGCCTCCCCCCTCCACTTTATTCTCCCTCGGCGTTCTCTTACTCTTCCCTTCAACAATGCTTCCCAAGAATCTATAGTTTTACACTAAATTTGATAGTGAGGGACCCTTAACAACCACGTACATTTATAAAATGTATTCTGTGGATGCATTTCCGTAAAATCTGTGGGACATAATTCCATGGGAACTCAGGGAAGGCTAGTTTCTCAACTTAGGCATCCACCTTTTGAATCTTCTCATTACACTATAAAAAGAAAGTAAAATTACATACATAATATATAAAATACGTATCATAATAAATAAAATATATAGTTTTACTCCATTATATTATGGACTGAGGTAACATTACATATATAATCTAAATCTATATCTATGTCTATAATCTTAGCTTTCCTACACTAACCTATCCATAGGTCTTTTTTTTTTTTTTTTTGGTTTTTCTCCGGTACCGGGAACCGAACTCACGTCTTTGCGCTTGCCAGGCAGGCGCTTTTGCCGCTGAGCTAAATCCCCAGCCCCGATAGGCCTTAATAAAGCTGCCCAGACTTTCATTTCTTTCTGTGACTTTAAGACGGAAGACGGGAATCTTGCCCTATTCGAAAATGGCTGCCTTGCTTCACATAGTGTGCGCATGCTCCTTGAACGCAAACCGGAGTTTAAAAGAAGAGTTCTGAGGCTCTCCCTGGGCAAGATGGCGGCGGGACTGCAGCTCCCAGCGTCCCTTGCGGCCGGGCCGGGAGCCGGGAATCTGAGGGATGGGGACCCTGGGGAGCTTTAGGCTGGCGAACGTGCTGTAGAGGCTGTGGTGGAGCCCGGTCCCTGGGAGCTGGTCGGCCGCACAGGGGACGATGGAAGCGTGGCGATGTGTGAGGAGGGGCTACGGCCGCTGTGTGGTGGGCAGAGGCCGGTCAGTAGCGCGGCGGCCGGAGGGAGGAGGAAGGGGCGGGCGGCCGGGCCCGGGGCGGGGCG